TCGAAAAATGTATGGTTACAAAATTTGTATTGCTTCAGTTAACTCACTTTTGATTAACCAGTTAGATAACATCGCATTTCGTTCTATCAACTATAAATCTTCATATTTCTTATTTGAAACACAATTATTTATTATTATTTATTTATTATTTTAACACATAAGTATAGGTACAGGGAGGCACCAAATACATATGCGCCACACAAATCTCAATTGATTTGTGTGAGGGCTGTGATACTGCTCGGGTGCCCAAACCGAAGCAGGTGGTTGTCTTAGGGGGCCACACCCCGAGCCTTTGACCTGAACGTCTGATCCACAAGGCAGTGGAGCATCGTGAGGAGATGCAGTCCCATGGTAGCCGGTGACCAACGATTGGTTCATACGCCATTTGTTCCTTCAGGATACTGGAGCCCATGTGCACCATTGGTTTGGGGTCCGGTTAAAGCGCCAGACATTCGCTTTTCGTCCTCTCATTTTTGTAAACAACACGCCCGCCACGAGAAGGCAGTGAGTAGGACTTCCCTGGTAGAGGCTATATACGCATGGCCATGTGAGAGCATTTCGAGAGGGAGAGCGGACTCTCCCCACTCTCGGCCGTACCAGGGCATTTGGGGGCATTTGAAACACAATCCCTTTCTTGCAATAAGTACAACGTAACTAGAAATATATATATATATATATTACCTATTCCTGTTACTCCTAATGGAGCATAGGCCATCAACCAGCATTCTCCAACCCACTCTGTCCTGGGCCTTCCTTTCCAGTTCTGTCCAATTTTTGTTCATTCTTATCATGTCTGCCTCCGTTTCTCGACGTAATGTGTTCTTTGACCTTCCTCTTTTCCTTTGGCCTTGAGCATTCCATGTGGGGATTGCCTTGTGACGCAGTTGGATGCTCTCCTCAATGTGCGTCCTATCTACTTCCAGCGTTTCTTCCTTATTTCTTCCTCCGATGGGATCTGGTTTGTTCTCTCTCACAATAGATTGTTGCTAATAGTGTCTGACCAACGGATCCGAAGTATTTTGCGTAGACAGCTGTTAATAAACACTTGTATCTTCTGGATGATGGCTTTCGTAGTTTTCCAAGTTTCCGCTCCATACAGTAGAACTCTCTTGATATTTATATTGAAAAATTTGACCTTGGTGTTAGTTGCCCATTGTTTTGAGTTCTAGATGTTCTTCATTTGTAGATATGCTTCTCTTGCTTCGCTAATCCGCGCCTTCACATCCGCATCAGACCCACTGTGTTCATCAATGATGCTGCCCAGATATGTGAAGGTTTTCACATCCTCCAAAGATTCGCCTTCAAATGTAATTAGATTGTTGTATGCTGTGTTGCATCGGAGAATCTTGCTTTTCCCTTTGTATATATTGAGACCTACTACTGCTAAGGCTGCTGCTACACTGGTCGTCTTCTCCTGCATTTTATGTTGTGTTTGCGATAGAAGAGCTAGATCATCTGCGAAGTCTTGATCGTCCAACTGCATCCAAGCTGTCCACTGTATTCCATGCTTCCCTTCAGATTTTGACGTCTTCATGGTCCAGTCGATCACCAGGAGAAAGAGAAAGGGTGAGAGTAAGCATCCTTGCCTGACACCGGTCTTTAATTCAAACGACTTTGTCAACTATCCTCCATGTACGATTTTGCAGTTTAGTCCATCATTATATCGACTATCTTCTGAGGCACGCCGTAGTATCGAAGAAGCTTCCATAGCGTTGCTCTGTCCACGCTATCAAATGCTTTCTCGTAGTCAATTAATCTGATGTAGAGCGATGAATTGCATTCAATTGATTGTTCCATAATGATCCGTAGTGTTGTGATCTGGTCTGTACACGATCGATCTTTACGGAATCCAGACTGTTAGTCTCGAAGTTGTGTGTCTACGGAGCCCTTCATTCTGTTCAACAATCCCCTGTTGAAGACTTCTCCTTGTACTGAGAGAAGAGTGATGCCTCTGTAGTTATCACATTTGCTGAGATTAAATACTAACTGAATAATGAAATAGTGTAGTATTTTGTAACGAAGATTAATTGTCTCAGGTCAGGGGTATACACTGTTGAAGGGAATGCCTTTTAGTGATTATTACTTTGAAATAGTTCTCTAAATTATAATGGTGTGAATAATCCAATAAAAAGACGAAGGTTATAGAAATTATGTGAAATATTTAAACAATGCATTTCAAGCAATCCGATCACACATGTACTAGTTCAGATATATGTTTTAACAAGTGTATATAAGATCAAATTGTTCGAAACGTATTGCGCAAATTTGTCACATAACTTTGACATTGTTTTATTACGTAAATTATATTAAAGTTGAATAAAATCACAAAACCAAATAAAAAATCTTATGTTAAATCAGAATGGGGATTTGTGAAGAGTGTAGTAATCTTAATAGTTGAATTCATGAGTTCATTTAAGCTGAACTACCATTGAAAACCTGGGAGCACTTGAAGACCGAGACTCGAGTCCAGGACCTTCAGTTTGTTGCTCAAACGCTTAACCTCCAGACCAATGAGCCAGTATCTAAGGGTTTCGATGTCTAAGCTCAACCAATTCACGATATTGCACGACCGTCCACCATTGTTTTCAGTGAGTAACTACTTCAAAACAAACATAGTTGAACTCCACTAGTCACAGCTTCTCACCAGGAAATCCACCTTGAAGCCAGTAACTAGTGAGCACATGATGATTATTATCAGAATGGGGCTTCGTGGAGATTGCAGTAATTTTAATAGTTGGATGCTCACTGCTGAGGAGTCCCGTTCTCAGACCAAACGGCCATCTAGCGCTTCCAGGTTTCAATGGTAGTCTAGATTAAATCTACTTATGGATTTGACCTATGTTAAATCATTGGAAATTCAAAAAGTTCTGTCAGTCATATTGAGAGAATAACTGTTGAGATATTTCAGATACGATTCACACCCTAACATTTAAAAATAGTTGAGAAAAATTCCAGATTTTAAGTATCTAACAGCTTTTGTGCTAGAAATGAGCACACTACCTTTCTTAACATCAAAACTACTATTATGGGTAACATTTTATTGAAAGCATGAATAGCAGTGGGTATTGTTCAAAGCTAAATGTATTGTTTCAAAATAATTCCATATAATCCAATAAACCGTTAAATATCAAATGATGTTGAATAACTTTTTTCTCACTCTCTGCTAGAAAGGCCTCAAATCATCTAGGTTTTTTATTTTCGTTGAAAAAGTATATCAGGACCTCGGCAACTGACCTTTTCTATAAATGATCCGACTGATCGTCTGTTCTTATGGCTTGTTATTTTGCTATTTGTTCCCAAGGCTATCGTTATTACCCTGTAAACAAAACTAATGTATTCGAAATTGACTTCTGCTGGGAATATTAAAAATTTCGTAAAACTCATTGAGTAATATTGGTACGATTTGTCTAGTTCGTTTAGACTTCTTTTCTTATAATCCCTTTCACTTCACAGTTTACATATTTATTATAGTTTATAATGGATAGGAGTGAAAAATCGCTGATCGCTTTGTGATATGAATCTTTACTTCTAACCATTTATTTTGATGATTGATCAGTAACTTATGATCGTACTATATTCATTGAAAGTAATGGACGATTATTAAAATTCCCTGGCATATATGTATATATGCACGTAACCAATCAGTCGGTCAAATATTCTTGTCTCCCAGATTATATTCTGTGAGAATTTTTGATAAAATGGAAAAAAAGTACTTGATATGATATCTCTATTCAATCTAGAATTTGAGGAACTCCAGTATATCTATGCCGCTGGTTTTTTTCAGTGACTCCCTTTCTAGTCCAAAAAGACGATAATAGCTAATAATTTTCTTGTAATAACGTGACGAAACGTACAAGAATGTATAAAAGAGTTACTGAACAGTACATTTTTTCAATGAGTGCAGACGTTTGGAGGAACCCAATTATCACAATAGGAAAAATATTTCTATCAGTCAAGGAACAAGAAAAAGGATGGAGTATTTCAATTTGATACAAACATGACCAATCAATAGCTATCAACAGCAAATATTCTAAAAAAAAGAACAAACAGGAAATGTGCTTAAATTTCAGTAATATAGAACAAAATCAATCAGTTCACACAGCCGAAATATAAACAAAGTGATTCAACATCACAACCGCTTCTAAGTGAAGCTATTTTAACCAAAAAAGTTCACAACGTATATGAGTTATAGTCAGTTTCAGAACCTGTCAACACTTTAATAACATATTGGCTTCATTTCGATAATGAGAAGACGAAGTTTATCAGAATTATCTGATATATTTGCGCAATACATTTCGAACAATCTGATCACACATAATATACTTGTTAAGACATTTTTATATGAAAATTAAGAGGTCAACTAGACAGGTTAAAGGTAAGAAATAATAACAATAAAGTACACAAATACAATGTGACCACCAGTCTGGATAATAAGTCAGTATTACCAGGGTAGGTTAAGGGTAAGGACAAATTGTGTTTGAACGCACAAAGGGGATTTCAGTTTCCGTATAGCCAAAGCTTCAATAAACCTTAGTATACGTCCGTGAAGGCTTTTGTATAACATTACAAAAGCTGATTTGATGTCAATCTTATAACCAGTCCCAATCAAATGTTAGCCTCAAACAAATCATAAAGTATGAATGTAATACAGAAGGGTTATAGACAAAGCATTATATATATATATATATATATATATATATATATATATATATATATATATATATATATATATATATATATATATATATATAGTTTTACGGTGTCTGAAAATATCCTCCTGAGTTACAAATCTTCTTCATTACTTTTGAGTCATCCCCCCCCCCAAAAAAAACAATGTTAAACTTTGGTTTTACATAGGATTTTTTTTATTAACTTCAACATTATTTTAATAGCTGGAATATATATACATGAGAATATTATAAAGAAAAGAATACATCATAAAACTGTTTCTAAGGCATATTATTATTAAGTGTAGGTTTTCAGAAAATAATCGAACTTATTCATTTCTTATTTTTGTTAACTTGTAGATTGATTCTTATTGATAAACGTTTTTGTGCTTCAGTATATTGTTCATTATATTTCATAGGCATATGAGATTCAATGTCTGCTAGATCATCAATTAATTTTGATATCGAACTTGATGTAATCACTGAACATGTCATTCTTGATGATGATGATGATGATGATGATGATGATGATGATGATGATGATGATGATGATGATGATGATGATGATGATGATGATGATGATGCGTTGGATGATTTCACTGACATTGTAAAAGAATTTGATGTAAAAGAACGAATGAACTTTTCATTCACTGAAATTTGATTACGTAAATTCACCATGAAATAACATAAATACTCAAAGAAATAATCGATTAAAACATGTAATTCCGAAATAAATATTTCCAAATCGATATTTGAATTCATCAAATTATTATTATTACATTCAACAACTAGTGTATTGTTTATAAAATTTGATATGTATGATTTTCTTGATTCACATATTTCAACCATTATGTTGGATATCTATTGTTAAATTAGAATAAATAATGAATGATTTAGAAAATGAAAAAAAAAGATATTCATTCGTCGAGATTTTACAAATACATTCTTCCTCATTAATGTCTGACAGCAACTCGACGCTCAAATACTGTGAAACTATTCGATCCAATTTAGACGAAAATTCTTACATATTAACCAAACTTGATAGTGTTTTCTTAGTGAGAAGTTTATAACGATTAATTAGAACAATTGTTTCGTTTAATTTAGAACCTCTTCAGTGAAATATACTTTTTAATTTTAAAATGAATGATTTTCATGATAAATATCATATTGTCTGATGATAAAATCCAAGAGTTCCAGTGTGAAAACCAGCAATGAAATACATATAGACTCAGCTGATAAGTCTTAAATAGGACGAAAAGCCCATTACACATAGAATATAGGCATCAAAATTCAATTCTGAATATCAACAACACTGTGATTCAAACCCTCACTATTAATGATATAAACACTAGTCGATATACATATAAACTCAGTAACTTAATGGATAACACTGTGATACATTTACATTAACCTAAGAGGTCCTAAATAGGACAGAATACACGTTTTGGATTGCACTACATAGTTGGCGTTATCCATCAACTTCAAATGTTATTTTCTCCTTATCCTTAATAATATATCTAACAGTTCTGCAATTTTATGTTTTCATATAGTCAATCGACCATAATAATTCTCAGTTTACTAAAACCACTTCAAACAGGATGAAACTCCCACCCCGTATTTCACAACACGCCACTATTCACTCCTACTCACAATGCTTATAACTTAATAGAGATATCGAAGCAATCTGCACAGGATGCACATATTGCCAAAAATTAACTGAACGATTACAATCTTATACATCAATGGGTAGATTTAAACAACCAATACAAATGAATTAGAACAATAAATGGTTAAATCAGTGGTCATAAATACTTTTATCATTATCATGCAGAATTCGCGTGATGAATATACAAATAAAATGTTCGGTCACATTGTACAATAATTTATAAATCTCAATAAGTTCACAACTAGGGATTCTTTTAAATTCATAACGGAATGATGAATTTATAGGTGGTTGACTATTATTTCCATTCACTAAAATGATATGAAAGTAATGAATAACTCAAAAGAGGGATCACATTTTGGCGTATATAAGACAGTGTACCATAGAACAGTCGTAAGATGAATATTCATTTAAGATGTGCATTCCTCTTTTTATCATTGGGTAGCAATTACTCATGTCATATTATTTTCACCAATTAATGCCAACACAGGTAATCAGCCTAGTTTCTGGTGTGATCACTGACAATATTATGTAAGAATAGTAAATCGACTTCAAAAGGAATAAAATCATTTTCCTGACTGAATACTAATTAAATAAGGTATTGTAAAATGAAATAATTATTGGTTCAACTATTTGATAATTTAACTAGAAATTATCTTTCAAATATTTCTAAAACAATTTTGTTTTAGAATACTTGATAAATATATGAATTCCTTGAAGAGTTGTTGTATATAATCGTCTTCAACTTGGGAGTAAATATTGATTATGATAGCTAACAAATATATTCTGTACTTGAACATCAAATGATCGCCTTTATTCAGTTCTTGGATGATTTACAAATGACTTTTGTTCTAATTTATCCCTTCTTTTCAGTTTTATTTTCTATGTTGCAGTGGTCTTACTAAAATCTCAATAGTAATCCTATAAAGTCAGTTACTGCTGTTCAACCTGATGTTCCTGATGACTCATAAACAATGTTCTCTTTAAATCCACATGAAATCGCAGTAGTACTGCATTATCACAAAGCAGAATATGCAGTTAATTAAGTATCGGTTTTATAATAGAATGAAGCCCTGATGAACCAGAAGAGATCTCCTACTATACTTTAATTCATGTGTCCGTGTATCAACCCTTTAGGAAGCTTAAGGTGACTAGACCCATAAAATAGGGCTAGTATTGAACACATCGGAACTTTTTGGAATATCTTACACATTGTTATTATCCATATTTCGATTGTACAACTAAACTATCATAGCTCTCTATTCCTGTTATCGTAAGCTCTCGTTGAACATAATGATTGTTGCTACAGTTTTTATTATTCCTAAATCATGGTTAGTCAATTTTTCACGATTTGCTCTGTTTATTGCCACCTTTTAGCTTGTTTATGTATAAACGGAGACTTTTATTTTGTGGTGTGATGCGTACCTAGACATCTGTAAATAAACGTGTGTGTTCGAATTATGTTATTACAAGCTTACCTGCTGTATTCTAATATCTGGACTCAAAACTGGCATCAAAAGGATCTAAGATTATCTCACCAGTCCTCAAGGTTACTCGTAATAGACTTGGCGTCTCAGTGGCCAAGTTAAGTAACCAATCGATAAATGGACTAATGTACTAGGAATCGAAAAGAATAAATTGAGATTTCGACTGGTGAGTTTCCACTCGGGCTATTGAATTAAGGAATGCAGACCAGCGAGCACTATAATGCAAAGGAATTTTCAGAAATGCACAGCCACTATACCAGGATATTCAAGCTTCACACTGAGCTCGTTACCTTTAGACTATTGAGTTGATGTACAGTCGTCTACTTCTATAACTTCAACCAATTATCTGTATGGATTACAATCACCCAACAACGTTATTAGGTAGCTGTTTCACATCAATCATGGCTGAAGCCCTCCAGTCATGATCTTTTGATAAAACTTTGAAAATCTTGAAACTAGTCACTAGTGAGCGTACAATTTCTGTTTGATAGGTATAATTTATGAAAATTAGTTTAAGTGGAATTTAGATTTCTTCATAGACTGATACAGCTGAAGAAATATTTTGAAAAAAAGGCAACACTAAACAAAACATTCATTCTAGTATGGAACTCCTCATAGGTTATCAATCTGATGTGTCGGCGAGAATGATAATGATTTGTTGTTTGCTTAGTCAGACTTGCAGATAGTCTGATAGGTACTAAATGTGTTATATATTCTCTTACCCTTATTATTATTGTGATTGTTATCGGTTTTTGGTAAGAAAATATACTTACGTTCTAGTCAGCCTAGTCATATGTTCTTGATCTATGTTGTGTTGAAGTCCTGTAGAATAGACACTTGAGGAGTATCTAGTGTAGATACTCGTCTAAGGCAAATTAACGTCCCATTCGTGTAAACAATGAAAACCGAGCGTTATAATACAATCCTCACAAACCTCCTAATAAAATTCCATTATAGTTTTTGTGTTTATATGTATAATGCTTGGTATATGAAGTGAATATATCACGTGTTTGATTGTGTATATGATCATGAATGCTTGTCCTGTCTGTAAAATTTATCATTTTACTGAATAGTCAGTCAGAAATTCCAGATCCTTATTGATTCCTCAGTCGATGTTAGTTTAGAATACAAGTTATCTTTCAATTAACTAAATTCTTCATAAACTGTTTTTATGAATAATTCAATAGATATCAATTAACATTATCTGAATAATAGTAAGCATTAAAAAGCCCAAATCAATAAATGTGACTTTTATTACCTTGAAAATGTAGTATACAATTGGTATTCCATTACTGTTTTGATTTCGATATTTTAAAATACTTCCAATCATAAAATTCATTTTATTGCTTTCATTATTGATTATTGTATGTAACCACTTTAATTGATTAATTAAATGTTCATAGAAATGACAATTTTTATTGATCACTTGAATTAAACGACTCAAACGATAACAATGAGTAAGTTCTGCTAAAGTAGGTTTTTTAAGAGTTAATTCAATCTGAAATTCAATAAACAATGTTTTAAAGTACATTGATCAAATCGCAATGGAAGATTATATATATACTGACTGATATCTGAGTACTGACCAGTATCATTTTGTCGATTAGTTGTGGCTAATAGAATTCTATTCGTAATGTTGCATTCTAACCACCGATCTAGATGGTGAGACGCTGCATTCACTAAATAATAGTTCTTGTATGTGAACACTAATTCACTGACTTCTTAACCGCTTATTAGTTTGAAGAATTCTCTTACTCTTGAACAGTAAAAAGAAAACAAAAGACTGGAAGTACGGAAGAAGCGTTATTTAGTTTGAGTATACAAAAATGAAAAGTATTGAGATGGTGGAGTAGATTTGTAGCTCATGTGGAAAGAAAGGTATTTATAGGATTATATGTGACCATTTGATTTGAGACGTTCCTGAAAAATGTGTTAAAATTAATAAAAATGTCGGTAGTTTTCTAGTATAGATAATAAAAACTTAAATCTTCCCCTGCAAGTTTCCAGAGAACTCTGATTGTACAAGATATTTTCAGTGTTTTCTCGGATTTTTTGACAGCTTTGTGAGGAACTGTCTTGGTCTTCAAACAATAAGTTCCGATGTTATTTGACCGATAGTAGGCAGCAAAAAACCCTGGAATAAGTTACATGTACTAAGTACTCACCAACTTTTTAAGAGGTATGGAATCATCCTAGTTTCTAACTGAGAGTAATTTAGTACACAATTCTATTGCCTCTTAGAGCTATTCACCACTATCTCCACAAAACCTTATACTGACAATAGTCATCTGCTTATTAGTGATTTGCTTAAAGATGTGAGTCATGGAGTTCTTGTGAGAACCACGACTAATGAAGCCTAACTGTATCGACTATCAGACAGTCATCTACTCCAGGGAATAAAAGATGGTCGTCCACTACAGCGAATTGAATGAGGTTAAATGTGTACACCGTTGGATGCAAGCGCAGTGATCTAGAAGTGAGACACTTTTATACGAGACCGAAAGTTTTGAGTTCGACCCAATGTAGTGCGATAGTAAGTCCACATTGCTAAAGGATCCCATACTAAGACGAAACAGCTGTATAGGGCTTTATAGTTCTTAATGGGGGTCCAATTAAAATGAGTTTGTGACTTATACTATCTAAATCCTATATTCTCAACAATGCCTTCATGAAATATTTCTGTGTAGATCTCAAGAAGTTGTCATCCTGATTGTTAAAAGATGAAGAATAGAAAATAATGAAACGAGGATAGCTACTCTCTAATGATGAATCAACTGGTATAATTTTACTAAGTCTTTCTCATTTAATCATTTTATGATATTTTTGGACTGGAATTAACCTCAACTATGTGTTATGAACACATCCAATGTAGTTCAGTTCGGAATGATCAATAAAAAACAAATCTTGTAAAAGTCATAGTTTGAAATGAAATTATTAAAGTTACAGCCCCCAAATGCCCTGGTATGGCCGAGAGTGGGGTGGGTTCGCCCTCCCTCTCGAAATACTCTCACACGGCCGCGCGTATACAGCCACTGCCAGGGAAGTCCTACTCACTGCCTTCTCGTGGCGGGCGTGTTGTTTACAAAAATGAGAGGACGAAAAGCGAACATCCGACGCTTTAACCCGATGCAAAACCAATGGTGCACATGGACTCCAGTATCCTGCGGGAACAAATGGCGTATGAACCAATTTTTGATCACCGGCTTCCATGGAACTGCATCTCCTCAAGATGCTCCACTGCCTTGTGGACTAGACCTTCAGGTCAAAGGCTCGGGTGTGGCCTCCTAAGAAAACCACCTGCTTCGGTTTGGGCACCCGGGCAGTATCCCAGCCTACGTACTAAATCATGATGAACTATTTACTTATGGAAAATATTCTTTTCGCTCCGATTTACAATGAATTGACTCGCACTATTATTATTATTTTACCACGTCATTTATTCACTCTCTCTTATTCCCACTTTATGTATCCTTTTTGACAGCAGCTCGCCTATGGTGAAAATTCGGCTTTATCTAAACGTTCTCGAGTCACTGCCTGGTTGAAAATTGTATGTTGTCACCGAATACGAGTACTGAAGCAGTGTTTCTGAAACCACGTGCACCATTCAAACTGGCTACCTTCAACGTTCGCACACTTATGCAGGTCGGACAACAGATAGGGCTGGCTATGTCTTTGGAGAGTCTTAATATTGATGTGTGTTGTCTATCCGAGACCCGTATTCAAGACTCTGGTGAAGTACTACAAATTCGCTCTCCATCTGTCACTTCAAAAAGCTTGTTTTATGTGCGTTTATCCGTGGACCCTGTGGCATCTTCGTCTGGTCTTGCTGGCGTTGGTGTCGCACTAAGCGCAAGAGCTGAGGCAGCACTAGTCGACTGGATCCCCATTAACAGTCGGTTATGTGCTGTTAGATTAGAAAGTTCCATCAAAGTGAGAAGAAATCGGCGTGAGAAACGATGTCTTTTCGTCATCTCCGCCTATGGCCCGACAGATTGCAGCCCGGATGCAATCAAGGACGAGTTCTACCACCAGCTAACTGTTCTTCTCCAGAAAGTGCGTTCGACAGATATTGTAGTACTAGCTAGAGACTTGAATGCTCAGGTCGGGCGTCTAGGCACAGAAGAGAGTCGTTTAGGTGGCCGATGGGGACTCGTTGGTCGCAGGACAGATAACGGGGAACGTCTACTGCAACTATGCACAGACCACAACCTGTTTCTGGCTAGCACTAACTTTCGGCACAGTCATCGCCGATGTGCCACCTGGCGTCCCCCTTCTGCATCTCAAGCCTGGACTCAGATTGATCACATCGCGATCAGCTACCGCTGGCGCGGTTGTGTACAAGACTGCCGCTCCTTTTGGAGTACCTCTCTGGAATCTGATCATGCTCTGGTCTGCGCCAATCTTACCTTACTTTTCAGTGGACAACGAAGTGACCGCAATTGCATGACGCCATGAAAATGGCGGGTCAAGTCAGTTGTGGGATTGCGAAACGTCCTGCTTACAAGCACTGGGTTTCTTCTGGTTCCTTACAACTCATTGAAGCCCGTCGGTCTACTCCGGGTGACCGTGAGTTTGACCACAGACGAAGGATGTTACGTAATGAAATTGGGCAAAGCTTGCGTAAGGACCGAGAAGCCTGGTGGTCGGAGCTTGCTAATGAGCTGGAAGCAGCAGCTGCATCTGGTAATTACCGGAAGCTCTTCCAACTCATCCGAGCCACTGGCAGCAAGAAGTTTGGTGTGAGCGAAACAATCTGCGAGGATGACGGAACGCCAATCACTAACATCCATCGACGTCTTGGACGATGGGCAGAATTCTTTGAAGGGCAGTTCAACTGGCCTGCTGCTCCGGCAACATCGGTCAGACTGTCCTTCCCTCCATGGCCGGTGACGACTGATCCACCAAATGAGGCGGAAGTCCGCAAGGAACTCCAACTCTTGAAACGTTACAAATCTCCGGGCCCAGTCGACTTACCTCCAGCTCTTTTTAAAGATGGTGGTGACTTTCTGACTAAGGGACTGACGACGTTGTTTACAAAGGTCTGGAAACTAGAGTGTGTACCAACGTCATGGAATGAGTCGATAGTTGTCCCTATCTTTAAAAAGGGTTCACGTCGTTCTTGTAACAACTATCGGGGGATAAGTTTACTTCCGATTGCGTCCAAGCTATTGGCTTCCGTTATACTTCGTAGGTTGTTCAAAACCCGAGAAAGATTGACTCGCGAGGAGCAGGCTAGGTTTCGTTCCGGTCGAGGATGTATCGATCATATCTTCACCCTCCGCCAAATGTTAGAACACCGCCATACTTATCAAAGGCCAACAATCGTAGTATTTATTGATATCAAGGCTGCCTTCGATAGGACTGTTCTCTGGGATTTTCTATTGAAGAAGGGTGTGCCTGAGAAGTTTATTAACATCTTGAAAGCCCTATACACAAACACCTCAGGCAGAGTGAGGGCATACAACCACTTTTCTCCATTATTCCATTCGAGCAGTGGGGTTAGGCAGGGTTGCCCAATCTCATCATTCCTCTTCAACTTTGCCATCGATGACATTCTGGAAACAGCTCTGACGGATGTAAGTAATGGTGGTGTGGATCTGTTGCCTGGAGAAAGACTTCTCGACCTTGAGTATGCGGATGATATTGTCTTACTGTGCGAGAATGCCCAAGCCATGCAATCCGCACTTAATCAGTTGGCAATCAGTGTCCGCAGGTATGGTATGTGCTTTGCACCTTCGAAGTGCAAATTACTTCTACAAGACTGGCAGGATTCTAATCCTGTACTCACTCTGGATGGTGAGCAGATAGAAGTAATCGAGAAGTTTGTGTATCTAGGTAGCTGCATAAGTGCTGGTGGTGGTGTGAGTGATGAGATCAATGCACGTATAGTGAAAGCCAGAGCGCTTATGCCAATCTGGGCCATCTTTGGCGCTTTCGTGATGTCAGTCTGACTGTAAAAGGTCGGATCTACAACGCATCGGTGAGAGCAGTTTGCTCTATGCTTGTGAAACCTGGCCTCTCCGAGCTGAGGATGCTAGACGACTCTCTGTGTTCGATGATCGTTGTCTCCGAAGAATTGCTGATATCCAGTGGCAACACCATGTTAGTAATGCAGAGGTTCGGCATCGAGTGTTCGGTCACAGAGACGATAATTCCATTGGTGTCACCATCTTGAAACACCGACTTCGGTGGCTTGGACATGTTCTACGAATGTCGTCCCAGAGAATTCCTCGTCGTGCATTATTTGCCGACTCTGGGACTGGTTGGAAAAAGCGGAGAGATGGTCAGTATATGACATGGTGTCGTGGTATGAAAGAAAGCTGCAAAGGGCTAGCTTCTGTTGGTCCTTCAGGACTCCCTGGCTGGGGTTCGAGAGATGGTGTAACACAGTGGCTAGAGACGTTATCAGATATGGCTCAGAATAGAAGCCAGTGGCGATCCTGCTGTAACCTTCTTTTACTTTCTTCATAAAAAGTGGTTGCTTCTTCCTTAACTGTA